TAAAATAAAATAAAATAAAAATGCCGGTTCTGGTTTTGTGTTTATTAGATGACAATCATCTGGCCCTGCGAGGGAAGAGGAAATTATTATTACCTCCTAGACACTGCAGTTTATGAGCAGATAAGTGAATTAGCTCAGTCAGAAAAATGAATTACACTGAAGTGTCAGCCACAGAGGCAGGTAAACACAGACAATCAAAGARGACATATTTTTGTACAATGGTTTTGCCCATCAGTGTTTTTTTTTAAATGGAGCATCACAAAACTAAAATGTACAAATAGGCGGGTGGTCATGTGATTGAATTTCTTATGCTTCATTAAAATCAAGTAAAATTACTGAATATTAGATTATCAAGGATTCAGAAACCTATTTTATAAATAGTTTGTCTTTGATTCCCATTAGATGAAACTTCATGTTAAAATTTATTAGTTTTTTTCATGATCATCTCTTTTTTTGTAATTTAATTGAATTACCTGACACATCAACAGACTGAAAACTTTGAGAAAAATGCAAGCAAACATACAAATAAATGAAATGGCATGATTTTACTAATTCATTTGTTTAATTTTACTTTTGTGATGCTGTAAATGTACACAAATAAATGTTTTTATTTAATTAAAGCTACGAGTGACTCAACAAAAGACTAAAAGTTAGCGGCACATGTGTTATACACATTTGTCAAACCACATTCATTTAATTTTCCATTTATTCTAAATTATGTGACTGGCACTAAACAACATCTGAACCATTTGAATCTAACGTGAAACTCATTCATTGAGTCCAGATTCGACACTTATTCAGTTATTCAGTGAGAACAAAAACAGATCTTACCAGTGAGCCAGAAGGTGATGAACTGTCAACAGGGCTGTTCTTTTTTCAGAGCCACAGGTTCTGCTGCAGGACCGAGACAAAGCAGATGTCACCCACCCTGACTTCAAGCTCCACCTCGTCATGTTTTCCCTTCTGCACATTCAGAAACTCCTACAATTGGATGACGTCACAGAAACACAGAAAAACAAGATCACAAGAAAGAAAAATAAAATCCAAACAAGTAACAGCTGTGGTAAGTTAAGTTAAGGGCAGTTTTTAAGGTTTAAGTTTTTTTCTAATACATGAATGAACTTGATTTGTGTTTGGAAGATTACTCTCTTGAATTTACCAACAATAATTTCAGCTGAATCTGGTCTTTTAGACCCCTGCCACAGAAAACTTCAAGGGGTTTCCCCCTTAAAACATCCCCCATTTTTGATCTGATCAATTTTCTTTAAGGCTACAACCAGAAACCTGTTTTTGATTGATAAGCCTTCACCTATCATCTGATAGCATTACTGTAGGGAAGGCTTTGCACAAACAAATGTGCATGTTAAATACAGAAGACTCAAAGAATCAAAATAAAGATTTCTTACCTTTCTTAGCTTTAAAGTCTTTGAACAGGATTATATTAGAGTGGAATTGAAAATCTTTTGAACTGACAAGCTGATTTTACGTATATACTAGAAATAAAACTGGTGGGAAAATGGCACTTCACTTTCTGCGTTGATTTTATTCAATCTTTTTCTACTGCGCTAACAGACCATGCAGTTTTCAAGAGTTACAAACATCAAAAACAATATAAACAGTATATTAGTGTTAGCCTTACGTTGTTCTTTGTTTCATTTTTTCTATAAAGTTGGCTCACAATTAATAACAGGAGCTAAGCAAATATTTAAGTAGTATTATTTGTACAGTTTTTGTTATTTTACTTGCTTAACTAATATATTTTCCCAAATTTGATCCTTACATTATTAAAAAATATTTAAAAAATGACTGCATGACAAACTGTCTTTGTGTTTGTTTGGTGTTTTTTTTTCTATTTATACCAGGGGCGTTGCTTCCAGATTAGATTGAGCTGCAGAAATGACTCTTCATTATAAATCGTTGATGGTGGAAAGAACATCAGCGGTGAATGACTAAATGAAATTAGGAGACAAAAGGCGGAAGAGTGAAGAACCTGATTTATGCAGGTTGGTATAAACTGAGGCATCGCCATAAAGTAACCAAACAAAACTTGCTGCTTCCTGAGTTTTCAATCATCGACCTGCAGAAACATGTTACCTCTAACCGTTATAGATTTCTGTACGTTGTCTACAAGTCACCTCCCAGCTGAACTGTTTCAGAGTTTAATAACTCAAAACCAAATAAATCACACACACATCAACTCACATCAGTTTTTCTATCCTCGTGAAGACTTTGCATTAACTTCCATTAATTTTTATGACCTAACCCTGACCTTAATTCACCTCTAAACCTATAGATCGCAGCAGAAGTACAACAATAAATAAATAAAATAAAAAAAAAGAGGACCAGGAAAATGTCCTCACTATGTTGGTTAAAAGCATATGATGGTCCTCACTCTGTTGCAGAAACAAGCACACACAGACAACATCGTTTAAAATACAAAGAGGAAGTGCAATAGAAAAAAAAAGTTTTCTATGACAATCAAGTTATAAAGACTGAGATCACTAATCTTTATAAGTTGAACATATTTCGACAGTACAGTATAACTCCACATGGAGAAAATCTGTTGACAAAATTCAAATAAATAAGTGTGAAACAGTTTATTTTGGTTTTTAAAATAGCTGTAACCAATTATTTTAAAGTTAACACTTTTTTTCTGTTTTTGTACAATTATGAAGTAATTTGAAAGATAAACAAGTTGAAATGTATCAATATGTTTGAACATAGAAAAGAGATTATAAATAGTCTCTTTCTTAAGACGAGGAACTGTTAATTTACTTTTGCCAACTTAAACAACATATTCTCCTCATCGAAATCTTTGTGCAGGAACAAACTAGTTATTTTACTGTCTGTAGTTTTATAGTTTGCAGAGAAGTCCTCTAAAGTRATCTCAGTGACTGAATATTTCTTAACATTTTTCAAGCTTTTAATACTATCATTTTAATACTATTGCATGTGTCTCAGGTCTCTCTACACATCTCAATGATATTTCCTGCCTAAATAAATAAATAAATAAATAAACAAACAAACATTTATCCATCTAATTTGTATTCTCTATTTCTTTGCTTCTAAATATATCATAAAATCTGAAAAATTGTGTTTCTGCAGAGAGTTTATGATTAATAATAATAATGAAGGATGACAAAACATGCCATCGACTATTTTCAAGAGAGTTCTGTTTTAATGTCAGGTGACCGCTGTGACACCGGGAAGATGAGCGACAAAAATGTAAAAAAAAAATCCAGCTACCCAACTTGTTAAATAAAGAGAAATTTGATGTCCTGGTTACTGAAAGTACCCGGCCCATAATATTACTGAACCACAAAACAACAGATGCCAGCAATACAGGGCCTCAAGAAACGTGGAGCAGCAGCAGAGCAGGGACGTGACTTTGTCGCCACCGTTTGTAAAAATGACAGAACAACACATTACTGTATTGAAAGAAAGACTGAGCCATCTAGTGTTAAATGTCTGAGCTAACAGCAAATGGCCTGGGTTGCCTTTTCTTTTTTCTTTTGTGCTGAAACATTCTTATAATAACATAAACACGATGTAAGGTTTCATTGACATTTTTATATTTTCATTTTCCCCCATGCCTAATTACCTGTCCAAAATGTTCCTGTTTGAAAAAGAAATTCACATCAACTACAATAATTTAGACAAAAAGTCAAGATCACTATGTCAACAGGAATCCTATTTAATGTCATAAATACTGACAGAAGAAAGAAGAAAAACATTATCTCTTGTTGAAGTCTTTGCAGCAACTCACACTACATTACATTGAGGACTAAAGTTTATTTCTGGACAAAGATGTAGACATCATAATTACACCTGTGAACCTGAACAAACACACGATCCAGCTGGGCCATAAAAAAAAAGATAGAAGAATTTTGACTCTAATCTGCCTTCCACAATGGGTGCCCTCCTGCACTGGCAACCCAAGTGGGAGAGAATAGGACATGAGGAGGTGGCAAGGAAAGGAATCAAGCAGAAACAACAAGCTGGAATAAAAAGCATCAATACAGGTGTATCATATATGTTCAATTATTAACATCGGCAAAACAAAAATAGCAACTAATATTGACAGTCTTGTATGTGAGCCTGAGGCTAAAGTGTTATTTGGAGACCTTCATTGTTATAGTTTATAGTAGTGATGTAGTTTACAGAACACTAAATAATTTAGTGACCTAATTTCTTTGTAATTTGCTTCCAAGAACCAGACCTTCATGTAATCATTTAAAGTGATCCTGACCATAAGTTCCTCAGGCTTTTAGAAAGTATTTCAAAGGGTTTCTTTGGACTTATGCTGCTGTTTTTGAATCATTTTCAGGATTGATTTGAAAAAATCTGGCTGCCTAAAAGCAAAATGAAGAAATCACTTGTTTAAAGCTTTTGAACAGTATCATATATTCAGATGGRCAAGTTTAAAAAAAGGTTTCTGCTTGCARAACTGGGAAGTAAATGTCACACATTCATTGGACTTTTTATGTGAAACCCCATATAATTCATATTGCATGACTCATTTGATTATATACATATATAGAGTGGGTAAAATAAATATTGAACATGTCACCATTTTTCTCAGTGAATATATTACTAGAGGTGCTAATGAC